AGAAGAAGAAAAAGATAAAAATTCCTCAATTTATAAACATAACAAATCCAAAGAAACTTAAAAATATTTTAAGAACAAAATATTGAAATGAACGAAGAGAAGTCTGAATCTAACTAATTGCAAACAATTAGATCATAATCAAGCTAACAAAGTGTTGAAAAAATTAAAACTTAAACAAGCTCATAAACCTACATAAAATAGGTTTAAGATGAAGAAGAAATCTAAAAAATCAATGTTTATTTGTAACTTTCTAAAGCAAAAAAGGTAGCAATTTTTCATTAGTTTTTTAGTATTTTTTACATTTTTGATGATATCCTTTAAAGGCCTTTAAGATTCACTCTTCTTTACTTAAAGACAATACACACCTTAGTTATTTCAATATTATTCTAAGGTTATAATATGCTCATTTAGCAGGTAATAATAGCGATTATAAATAGCTCATTAATGAAGATTGCTTTTTTAGGAATTATATTTACATTCAAAAAGGGTTCAATAGGTAAAAGGGTTTCTCTAATTTTGTAAATAGTTATAAGCTTAGTTTACTACTATGTCATTTTGGCAGTATCTAGTGGTAAAACTCCAAGTGAGTCGAATCAATTTATAATCCTATTTATAATATCTTTTCTAACAGAAATGGTATTCATAGAGATAATAGAGTCATTTTGTATGATCTTGCTGATTCAAAAATATATTAAATGTAATGAATCCAAAAGTATTATTGGTAAATTGTATAATTTATTCAATTTAAAATAAATAATACTTAATATTGATGTTTGAGCTAACTTTATATTTTTATATTTTTTTGTTTTTCACTTAAAGAAAGAATATCACCTTTTAAAATCTCTTTTTATAAAATTACTTTAATTTTTTAGAATTTAGTTTATTTTCATAAAGTTTAATTTAAAATAATTTATGTAAAGTTTAAAATATCATCAGTTTCAGTTAATCTTTGTTTTAGCAATTAAAATCGATTTCTTTCGACTAATTTTTTAGATAAATACTAAAGAAAATGCTAAGAATTAAATCTTTTATTTAAAATAAACACTGTAATTTCTCGAAAAAAAATTTCTACAAAAATTTAAAAATAAAAATTAAAAAATTTAATTAAAGAAATTAATAAAAATTATAATAATTATGTATTTATTCTTAATAAAAGAGGATTTAGATTAAATTTATTTTTTTTTTAAAATAAACTATTTCAAATGAATTTATGAAAAATTAATTATTTTTAAGTTTAAAAATAAATATATTATTCGTATTAAATAGATTGTATTAAAAGGATTTAAAAAACTTCTAATTATTTTTTGTAACCTTATTAGCTATCAATATTTTATTAAGCATTAATAAGATATATAATTAAATAAATCATCCTATTTTTTGATTGTGAAAATTTAAAAAAAATATTTTTCTTTTGTTTTTGATAATATAACAACATATAAATTGATAGATAGATATTTAGCTTCAAAATAAATATATTTCATCATTTTAAAGTATCATATTTTGATATTCTTTATTATAACTTTAATCATACTAATTAATATAAAATAATTGATGGAGGAGAACAAGATTAAAAAATGGACAATTCATTTATTAATTATGTAATAGCTACTACTTGAAATAAGAATTAATTAATTGGAAATTTTGTTCAATGAAAAAGCATAAAGAATCTCAAACGATCAGATTAACTAAATATTATTTATGATTGTTTAGCAAATGCCAAATAAAAAAATAGTGAGTAACCAAAATGAATCAACGACCAAATTTATTAAATCAAACAGAGATTAATTATTTGATATTAATTTATGATAATTAGTATACACACATATATTTATATATTCAATAGATCAAAAATTCAAATAAGTCCGTTTATTTATAAGATAATAGAGTTTTACGTAGAAAACAAATAAAATGTCTAAATATAATTTCGAACCTTTATTTAACAAGTAAATAATTCGATTATGTATTACAATATTATCTGTTTCTTAGCCCTCTTATTAAGGTGAAAAAATAGAGATTTTGAGCTTTTTAAAGATTTCAAAAATTTAGGGCTCCCTCAACAACCTTGTTGGGTAAGCTTGTCGAGGAATCGGGTAGTATTTGTTTGTTATAATGTAAAAATCGCTTAAAATAAATGAAATCGAACATTTGATTCTTAATTTAGAACCAAATAGATATTTTAATTAATTAATTTTCACTTAATAAATACTTAGTTAATTTTTATTGTCTAAATTATGGATATCAATCCTATCAATCTATTTAATATACAATTCTTGATTGAGTCTAAGTACTTTTCAATGTTAATTTCAAGTGTTAAAGTTAGAAAAACATAATCAATAATTTACAATCCATCCACTCGTATAAAAACAACTAAAACCATTTAACTCCATTTTTGAATCTCCAACCTTTCATTAATGTAATACATACTAAAAGAGTATTATTATTAACAATTGGATCAAAGTAAAGCCTAAAACGTAGTTTTTTGACTTCCATTAATGTGAAGATTTAGATTAATTACATTCACTTTCAAGCTAATATTTTACGCGTGCGTTTTCTTTAAAAAATAATTTCACTAATTTAAATATAATTTAGTTTTAATTTCAGTTTTTAAATAGATTTACCAAATATTTAACAAGCCCTATTGCTATTATTTAGTTAAATGTTTGGTTATTTTACATCTATTTTTATTAATAGTTCATTTGATTTTATATTAAGTAAATATATTTTAAATGTTAATAAGCTTTGAAATTGTATCATCTTTAAGTTAAAAATGGTATCAGTAAAATTAAAAATACAAAGAGTAAATGATATATATATTTAATAATTTTATTAATTGATTATAATAGATTATTAAATTAAACAGTTAAAAATCAGAGATATTTTAAAAATTGACTCAAAATATTTAAATGAATGTATTTTGTAATAGCTCCTGCTTTTCTTTTCAAAAATTAAAAGCTGGATTGAGTTTTAAAAATAATCAGATTAACTGGTTATTATCTATAATAATCTAATTTTTCTTAATAATATAGAATGTTTCACTAAAACCAATTTATTATTAATAAGAAAAACTAGAATTTTATTTTTTGGCATAAATGTAGATAATAATTACATAGGACTAAAGTTTCTTTCATTGCTGATTTATAAAATTGTTTTAATAATAAGATATTATTTAAAAATAGATGTAAATTATTTATGAGGATTTATTTATTTGTTATGTAATAGCTACTGCTTTATTTTTCAAAAATTAATGGCAGGATTAAGTTTTAAGAAATAATCAGATCAATTGATTATTGTCTGTAATCATCAAATTCTTTTTTAATAATAAATAATAGATAGAATGCTTCAAGAAAATTAGTTATTTAAAAAAAAAGAAATAGATATAATGAATTATAGTGTTCTGAAGCTAATATATAAAGAACTTTAATTTATTTGCTGCTTTATAATAACTTTTAGATTTTTTGAACAGGTATGAATATTAGTTGTTTAATGGCTATCAGACTGCTAATTTATATATTTATATACAAAAATAAATGCAATTAAAAAATACTATTTTAAGCATTAATTTAAATTATAAATTATCGATTTCTAGTTTAAATTCATGCAGAAATACCATAAAATGAAATAGTGGGTGATAATCTTGATAATTAATTAAGCTGATTTGATATTTTTTTTATTGATTAAATATTAGATATATGAATTGTAAGTGCTTTAATTTTGGTTTGGGTAGAAGAAAGTTGTTACAGTCTTAATTTGAATTAAAAAAACTTAATAATTAAAAGAAAATAATGAGTGGCTGGCTTAAAGCCTGCTTTCTGACAGATGGCTTATAATCATTTAAAGCAATTTTTAAATCTCCAACCCTTCTAATATGTTTTGCATTTAATTAAATGGTTATCTTTAAGATTTTTGTATCTTAAATAAGTTTTAGAAGGGTTTATTTATTTAGTTAATATTAAAATCTAATATAAGATAAATACAAATTCTTTTAATTTATTTTTTATTTGCTTGGCAACTAATATTAGGATATTAGGATGACTTGTATACAAAGAAAAGGCTTAATTAATCAATTTACAATATAATATTTATTTAATCACAAAAAATTATTAATCTAAATCTCCTAAAAATAAATTGAATAAACAAACCAACAATGAAAACTTAGAAAATTAGAGCATTTCTCTTGGTTATTTTACAAAGTCTAATATTTGATTCATAAATTTTGTAAAAAATAATTTATTTATTTTCATAAATAAACAGTCTTAAAATATTTATTTGCTAAAAAATGGTAAGATTGCAGCCAAACATAATTTATCAATTAAGGTTAGAATCCAAATTGTAAATAAATTCCATTTAAATTATTGTTTTATTATTAAATTATTTTTTATAAACATAAGTTAGTTATTGTATAATTAATTATGTAGCACCTGCATAGCAATCTGATATAGATAGCATGAAAAAATATTTCTCAAACATGAATTGCTTAAATTTAAATGTTTTTTCAATCAACTAACTATAATACTTATCAGGAAGTAGTTGTAATTCAAATAGTGAAATCATAATAAAATATACTCCCGAAACCCAGTAAAAAAAATAATTAAATAAACAAATATTATGAGAGCAATCAATATTTAAATCTTTTCATAATTAATTTATTTTTAAAATCAAAAATAGAAATCACAATATTTTTGATGTTTTAATTTTTTCTTCTTCTTTTATTTTCAAAATATTTTATAAATAAATTAGGAATACAGTAATATATTCTTATTATTTTTTCCTTGCTATAGATCTCAATATGCCTCCTAACAATGATTTAAAACCAATAGTTGAAATAAATAAAGTACCTTATAAAAATTAAATTGGATATACTTAACTATATACTACTTAAGGCTATTCTACGAATTAATAAATTGTGTTTAATAAATAATTAAATGTAGATAGTTTAACAATTAAATTACAGCCAAATATTGGAATATAATATCAAATTTATTTTTGGTCTATTGGTCTATATGTATAATTGGTAAATTTAACTTTTAAATTTTTTAATAGAGAGAGAGATGTTTTTTTTTGATAAATTAGAATATAAAAAAATTATTTATTTGAAATTTAATATCATGAAAAACTTTTGTTTAAATTTTAAAAAATGAATCCTCACTTAAAAATATTTATTTAATATAATATAGTGCCAAGTAAACTGTTAATAGTGTGATTATAATTAAGTATGCTAATAATGTTTTTCTGGGTATTATTATCAGAAATAAACAAACTAATGCTAGTCATGTAATCCACCCTGTTAAACTTGTGATGGTCCAAATCCAAATAATTGCTTATCTTGTAGTACTGGACTGTATTATAATTAGGCCACAAAGTCATGTATTTGTGATCCAACCTGTAAAACTTGTGATGGTCCAAATCCAAACAATTGCTTATCTTGCAATCCTGGACTGTATTATAATTAAGCCACAAAGTCATGTATTTGTGATCCAACCTGTAAAACTTGTGACGGCCCAAGTTAAACTAATTGTTTATCTTGTAACTCAGGGTTTTACTATTAGTAAGCTGCAAAAAAGTGTGTAAAATCTTGTAATTAAAATGAATTTCCAAATTTATTATTATAGCAATGCTAGTCATGTGATAAAAGTTGTGCAAGCTGCGATGGAAAGGATTTAAATAATTGTTTAAGTTGTTACCCTAACAATTTTCTTTACAACAAAATTTGTGTTAGCCTATGTCCAAATGGATTTTAAAGTAATTTTAACACTCTCACATGCGATTCATGCTAAAATTATTGGAGCCCATAATGCAATCCCTGCTATTCCAACTGTAAACAATGTGATTAGTCATAGATTTAAAAATGTCAGACTTGCTATAATGAAACAAGATAAATAGATGTTTAAAGTAATAGATGCATTTGCAAAAACTAAAATGATTAAAGGAATATATTTTATTAATGCAGCTATGAAAATATTGCTGTCATTGATGCAAAATTAAGTGCTACATTTCCATAACTTATTATTGATTTGGGGTCTCCATTAATGAATATCATATCAAATACGCCTTAGTCTTTGTGCTCATAAATATTTGATTAAGCAACACTAGGCAAACTTGGGTTAGATTCTTCTTGCAAAATCAATGGGAATAAAATTTTAGTTAATTTAAGTATGTTAAATTTATTAAATATTAAAAAATTAAACTCATCAAACTTATATATTCTTTCATTTTTAAATATTTTATTCTAAATTTTATTTTATTTTAATAAATAGGTGACTCATCGACAATCATGGAAAATAACTCAATTAATCTATTACCAAATAAGCTGCAGTTTGTAGATTATAAAGACACTTTCATAAATACATTTTATAGAAACATTACCTTCTAAGATTCCCCTGGAATCCCTTAAATTTAATTTAGCTATAATCACATTGAAAACAGCTGTAATCCTATAAATATAACTCTTTATAGTATTTAAAACGATGCAGGAAGAAAATTTATGAGTCTTAATTGGACTTTAAATCAAATTGTAGGCTCCATAAGCAGCAAGTAGTAAGTAAGTATACAAGAAATATTATTAAAAGCAAGCTAAAACAAAAACACTAGTTTGATTATAGACCCTAAATACCTACCACCAAATATTAACATAACAATATAATTTAGTTATTTACTTAAGGTTAACTAAACTGGTACTTAAACATTCACTGTTATTTATCAAAAATAAAAATTTATAAGAGTCAACTATTAGCAATCTTTGTACCCACCAATTTATAGGTTAATTTTTCTTTATAAGGAATTAATTAGTTTTATAAGTAAATCTCAAAATAATAAATAAATAGATCTATGAGCTTGAGTTTCTACTTTTAATTTTACGTAGAGATATGCGAGTTAGGCCAAATAACTTTTTTTAATGAGCCTGTTGATTTACAACTTACTTCTAACCAGCTTTAAAAGTAAAGTCTAAGTCAATACAATTAATCAAGCTTTCAATATGACATTCTCCCTTACTCCTTAGCATCTAACTAAACTTTTAATATCAGTGTAAATTTTTTGTAAATATTATTAAAGAAACACCATCAAAATATTTAAACTAATCTATCATAAATATTAAAAATATTTCAAAAAATTTTTAATTAATTTAGCAATAACAGAAATGTAATTAATTTAATAAAAAATTAATATTATTTTGAGTGTAAAATAATACTTCCATATAGAGAAATTGAATTTATTATTCCAATTTAAAATAAACCACTTCAAAATAAAACACTCAAATATTTATTATATTTATTTATCCATTTTTATTAATAGTTGATTTTGAATTTGAGTTCAGATAGTAAGATAGTTGCCATCTAAAATATCTCAGTTAATACTTAAATTACAGATTTGTTTTTGCAAATTATTGGAGGATCAAGCCTTGTTTTAGGCTATCAAAATTAAATGATCTTAAATACAGATTCGAGGGATTATGAAATTCAAGATTCAAATTCTGCTTCAAATATCAACTTTAGTTGGAAGTGTAATAGCCTATCCTCTAATGACCATATCTGCTATGATTATTAGAATAAGTAGATTTAATTGTAATAAGGGGCCAGTAATATTACGTTTCCTGCTAAAACCTTTTAGCCATACACTATAATTTAGTTTACTGTTGTAGGATAAAAAGATTCTAGGCAATCAAATTTCACGACTACTTGTATATTCACAGAATTAGATATTCCTCCACTAAATATTTTAACAACAACACACATTAACCGAAAAATTAATTTGAATGATGATCTTAATTTTTAAATAAATTATGGTGAGAATGTTTCATCAGATTCCTTGTCTTATGCTGGAGCTATATTATATGATAATAATCCAGTTGCAGCAATCAAATTTGATTATTTCCAAATTAGATTCAGAATTTGGAACTATTTTTAAAATATAGATCCCTCAAAGCAAACACTTTAAATAAGATTTTCTGTGTATAATCCATTATATGTTATGCCAAGCTTGTCTACAATTAGTATTTAAATTAATATTCCACCTCAGAATTGCTTTTTAAGTATAAATCCTTTATAAGGAATAGCGCTTGAAACTATCTTTTAGGTTTAATTATTGAATTGTACTGATGAAGATCTTCCCCTAACTTATTAGTTCTTCTATTACAATAGTGCAGATGATGCTCTTCAAGAATTAATTTCACCTTGGAATATTTTAAGAAGATAGATATAAGATTAGACTATAAACAACTCAATTTAAACAGTTCTGCCTTAAGGAAATCTAGTTTTTATGGTACAAGTAATGGATTCTTAGCTAGGAGTTTATAATACCTCTTCTACAATATAGGTTCAAGCTTAGAATAAATCAGCTGATGAATATTATAAACTGGTAAATCAACAGACTTTTTAAGCTTTATAGAGCTCAAATATATAAATCACAAACTAACTAGTGACTTTAAGCATTATAGCAGAAGACATCAGTAAAAACAATTAATTTTCATAGCAAATAAATGATTTAGAAACTTTACTTATTTAAAATATATAATAATTATCTTTCTAAATACCTAAATTCTCCCTTTTATCTACATTTGCAAACAAAGTAACTGCTTAACTATCATAACTAGTCTTTAGCTAATCTTAATAAAACAGTGTTACAACATAGAAAAATAAAATATTTGATTAACTTTAAGCAATACTCCAAAATACTAATTCAACCATACAAAATAGTAATCTTAGCCACTTACAATAAAATAATGACATTTAAATTTAAAATATGGTAGACTCTTTTAAAATTTTAAACTCAAGCGTTAGTTTGAATAGTAATAACTCATACGAAGATTTTTAGTCATACGATAAAATATCAAGTTAGATTGGAAATCTGCTTAATAATATTAGCTTACCAAACTAAGGACAAATTATTCTAAATGGTGATTTGTCCACTCTTTTGTCAGATAAAGTAACATAGAAAAACTTATTCAAATATGTTATAAATACAGGTTATTAAAATTCCGAAAATTAAACTAGCATATTTAGTATTTCAAGAAATAATTATAAGTAAAATATTTATGAAAATACTTCAGATTTTTAGGCATACACATAGCAATTCAAAAATATTAGTTAAAACTTTACCTACTCTAAGAATGAAGTAATATCACCATAGATTTATAATTCATCTTCTTAAACAATCTCAAATCAGTCTACTATTATTTACTAGTTTAATAATACAAATTCTAGTAAGTTATATAATATGACATGCATTTAAAAAAATAATCTTTCATGGAGTAAATAAAATTGTGGTATAACAAAAATTGCTTAAAATGGATACTTGTGCTGCTGTGCCTCCTAAAAACCAACAACCATCATTGAAGATATTGATGACATGTTCTCAAAAAATAAAAATTTGTAGACAGCATTTGGAGAATAAGGGATATTAAATATAGCAAGTTTTGAGAACTTTTATATGTATATAATATTTTGGCTCTTGATAATATTCACACTGACTGAAATTTAATTATTTATTATTGGAAGATTCTTAGACAAATAAGCAGTAAAAAAAAGATACTAAAAAGTTCATAATCAAGAACTAAATAATTAATTGTAAAATGAATAGTTATAAGAGTTGAGATACCAATAATAATAAATTGACGATAATAACTAAAATATTTGTGAAAATTCTTAAATGATAAATAACGATGTATTCCAGCACTCTCCTTTTACACATCAATTTAATAGTAAAGAAAATGTCTAACATGAAATCTAGTAAAATCAATAGATTCTATCACCTCCTGATTAAAAAATATATAATTAATTTAATAGAAGAAGAAAAAGATAAAAATTCCTCAATTTATAAACATAACAAATCCAAAGAAACTTAAAAATATTTTAAGAACAAAATATTGAATTAAACGAAGAGAAGGCTGAATCTAACTAATTGCAAATAATTAAATCATAATCAAGCTCTAAAAGTGTTGAAAAAATCAAAACTCAAACAAGCTCATAAACCTAGATAAAATAGGTTTAAGATGAAGAAGAAATCTAAAAAATCAATGTTTATTTGTAACTTTCTAAAGCGAAAAAGGTAGCAATTTTTCATTAATTTTTTAGTATTTTTTACATTTTTGATGATATCCTTTAAAGGCCTTTAAGATTCACTCTTCTTTACTTAAAAACAATACACACCTTAGTTATTTCAATATTATTCTAAGGTTATAATATGCTAATTTAGCAGGTAATAATAGCCATAATAAACAGTTCATTAATGAAGATAGTTTTTTTAGGAATTATATTTACCTTCAAAAAGGGTTCAATAGGTAAAACAGTTTCTCTAATTTTGTTAATAGTTATAAGCTTAGTTTACTACTATATCATTTTGGCTGTATCTAGTGGTAAAACTCCAAGTGAGTCGAATCAATTTATAATCCTATTTATAATATCTTTTCTAACAGAAATGGTATTCATAGAGTTAATAAAGTCATTTTTTATGATCTTGCTGATTCAAAAATATATTAAATGTAATGAATCCAAAAGTATTATTGGTAAATTGTATAATTTATTTGATTTAAAATAAATAATATTTAATATTGATGTTTGAGCTAACTTTATATTTTTATATTTTCTTGTTTTTCACTTAAAGAAAGAATATCACCTTTTAAAATCATTTTTTTTAAAATTTAGTTTATTTTCAAAGTTTAACTTTAAATAATTTCTGTTATTCAGTTTCAGTTTGATCTTTGTTTTTAGCAATAAAAATCGATTCCTTCCTATAATTTTTTAGATTAAAACTAAAGAAAATGATAAGAATTAAATCTTTTACTTAAAATAAACACTGTAATTTCCCAAAAAATAATTTCTACAAAAATTTAAGAAAAATTAATATTTTTTGTAATTTTATGCAAATATTTCATCATATATATTTATCCTTAATAAACTTAATAAGAGAGGATTTAGATTATATTGATATATATTTCAAATAATTATTTTGAATGTATTTATGAAAAATTATTTTTTAATTTAAAAATATATTAATAATGAATAGATTTTATCAAAATGAGTTAAAATAGAGTATATCAAAAGGAGTTAAAAAATTTCTAATTTATTTTTGTAACCTTATTTACTGTCAATCTTTTATTGAGTCTTCATTAGATTTTAATCAATTAAATCATCCTATTTATTTTTTGATTGTGTAATTTTAAAAATTATTTTTATTTATTTTTGATAAAATAATAAAATAAATATAAATAGATATTTAGCTTCAAAATAAAAAAATATATTTCTTAATTTTAAATTATAATATTTTATTTTTTTAATTTTAGTTTTAATCATATTAAGTAATATAAAATGATGGAAGAGATGAAAAAGAAGCGAATAATTTATTTATCAGTAATTTAATAGCTACTGCTTGAATTAATAATTGGAAGGATATTTTGTTCAAAGAAAAAGCTAAAAAAAATCCCAAACAATCTGATAACTAAAAAAAATAGTGAGTTAACAAAATATATGAATGAATGATTGAATTAATTAAATCCATAAGAAATAAATTATTAGATACTAATTTATGATAATTATAATAAGCTTATATCTTTGCCAATAGATCTAAAATTCAAATAAGTCTTATAAAAGCCTTTATTAGTAAGATAATAAGATTTTGCATAGAAAACAATATAAAGGACTAAATATTATTTAACTTTTATTTAACAAGTTAATAATTAGATTATATATTACCATATAATTTATTTCTTCGCCTTCATATTAAGGTGAAAAAACTAAGATTTTGTTTGACTTAATCTTTTAATTTTATGCAAATATTTCATCATATATACTTATCAATAAAAGAGGATTTAGATTATATTGATATATATTTCAAATAATTATTTTTTTGAATGTATTTATGAAAAATAAAAATATTTTTCAGTTTAAAAATATATTAATAATGAATGATTAGATTGTATCAAAATGAGTTAAAATAGAGTGTATCAAAAGGAGTTGAAAAGTTTCTAATTAAATTTTGTAACCTTATTTACTGTCAATCTTTTATTAAGTCTTTATAAGATTTTAATTAAATCCTCCTATTTATTTTTTGATTGTGTAATTTTAAAAATAATTTTCTTTTATTTTTGATAAAATAATAAAATATAAGTTGATAAATAAAAAGAGATTCTAAATAAAAAAATATATTTCATAATTTTAAATTATAATATTTTATATTTTTAATTTTAGTTTTGATCATATTAAGTAATAAAAATAAAATAATGGAGGATATGAAAAAGAAGTGAATAATTAATTTATCAGTTATGTAATAGCTACTGCTTGAATTAATATTGGCAGGATATTTTGTTCAAAGAAAAAGCAAAAAAAATACCAAACAATCTGATAACTAAAAAAATAGTGAGTTAACAAAATATATGAATGAATGGTTGAATTAATTAAATCCATAAGAAATTAATTATTAGATACTAATCTATGATAATTATAATAAGCTTATATCTTTGCCAATAGATTTAAAATTCAAATAAGTCTTATAAAAGCCTTTGTTAATAAGATAATAAGATTTTGCATAGAAAACAATATAAATGACTAAATATTATTTAACTTTTATTTAACAAGTTAATAATTGGATTATATATTACCATATTATTTATTTCTTCGCCTTCGTATTAAGGTGAAAAAATTAAGATTTTTTTTGACCTTTAAAGATTTTAAAATTTAGTGCTCCCTTAACTACCCAGTTAGTTGGGCTTTTCGACGATTAGGGTAGTATTTGTTTATTTGAATGTAAACATCACTTATGATGAAATTGTAAATTCGATCTTTAATTTAGAACCAAATAGAAATATTAATTAATTAGTTTTCACCTAATAAATAATTAGATAATTATAATTATCTAAATGATGGATATTGATTCTCTCTATCTATTTACTTATTTAATATATAATTCTTGATTGAGTCTAAGTTTTATTTGGTTTTATTTCACGCACTTAAGTTAGAAAAACATAATCAATAATTTACAATCAATCCATCCTCTCATATGTATAAATATAACTAAAACCATTTAACTCCATTTTTAAATCTTCAACCTTTCATGAAAGTGAATTAGATTAATTATTTTTATTTTGAAGCTAAAATTTTAGGCATTATGTATGTTAAAAAATAAATTGTTTTACTTAAAGATCGATAGCATTTCTTTTTATTTCGGTTTTTAAATAGATTTATGAAATTTTTAACAATCTCTTATTGCTATTAGATATTTATATGTTTGCTTTATTTATTTACCTCCATTTTTATTAATCATTCATTAGATTTTATATCAAATAATATCAGTAAAATTATAAAGACAAAGAGTAAATGATATGCTTTAGTAATTAATTATAATAGATTATTAAATTAAAGTGTAAAAAATAAATAAGATATATTCTTGAAGGAAAATATTTAAATGAATGTATTGATTAGTTTTGTAATAGCTCCTGCTTTACTTTTCAAAGATTAAAAGCGGATAGAGTTTTCAAAAATAATCAGATTAATTGATTACAATCTAAAATAATCTAATTCTTCTTAGTAATAATAGAATGCTTCACCAAAATTAATTTATTATTAATAGATAAACTAGAAATAAATTTTCTTACATTTATTTATGTAGCTAACAATTACATTGGACCAAAGTTTAATTGCTAGTTTTTAAAATTATTTTAACTTTTAGAGAATACTATTTAAAAAATAGATGGAATTTATTTAAATGAATTTTCTTATTTGTTTGTTATGTAATAGCTACTGCTTTATTTTTCAAAAATTAAGGCAGGATCAAGTTCTAAGAAATAATCAGATCAATTGATTGATATCTGTATCTTTTTTGATAATAATATATAGAATGCTTCACAAAAAATTATTTATTCAAGAAATAAGATATACTATAAATTATAAGGTGCTGCTACTAACTAATATATAAAGAACTTTAATTTATTTGCTGGTTTATAATAACTTTTAGATTTTTTGAAAAGGTTTAAAAAACAAATAGTTTTTTAATGATTATCAGTGTGCTAATTTATATATTTATATATGAAAATAAATGCAATTAAAATACACTATTTCAAGTATTAATTTAAATTACAAATAAAAGAAGGTTTTGTCAGTACTTACTTGTTTAAAAGCATCCTGAAATTCTTAAATTTAATTAAAATAATTTGTAATTAAAGAAAATAATGACTGGTTTAAGGCAAGCTCGCATGTTGACAGATGGATTATAATCATTTAAATCAACTTTTAAATCTCCAACCCTTCTAAAATGTATAGAATTTAAATAAATGGTTATCTTTAAGATTTTTATGTCTAAAAACAATTTTAGAAGGGTTTATTTAATTAAAATTAAAATCTAATGTAAGATAAATTCAAATGGAATTAATTTATTTTTTATTTACTTGGAAACTAATATTAGAATAGCTTACCTATTAAAGGCTAACGATATCACTTTACTTTATAATAATTAATTAATCACAAAAAATTATTAATCTAAATATCCTTAAAATAAATTGGATTGATTAACAATGAACACTCAGAAAATTAGAACATTTCTCTTGGTTATTTTACAAAGTGAAATTTTTGATTAATAAATTATGTAAAAAAGAATTTATTTATTTTCATAAATAAACAGTCTTAAAATACTTATATGCTGATCCTTTGTATTTTTGCTAACCAGGATAAGTGAATTATGGTGGTTTAAATGCTAACTGTATACTTCTTTTAAATTATTGTTTTATTTTTAAATCATTTTGTTTAAATTTAAGTTAGTTATTGCATAATTAATTATTCAGTATCTGCATAGTAATCTGAAATTGACAGCATGAAAAATTATTTCTCAGACATGAATTGCTTAAATTTGTTTAATTTTCCACCTATGAATTTGTAATCCTTATCAGGAAATAGTTGTACTTCAAATAATGATATAATAATAAAATATACTCCATAAAACCCGTAAAAAAAATAACAAAACAAAAATTATGATTGCAATATTTATATCTTTTCTTAATCAAAAATTCACTTTAGATTAATTTATTTTTAATATAAAAAATATAATTCACAATATTTTTAACCTTTTAATTTGTTATTCTTTTTTTTTTAAATTTTTTAATAATTTAGGAATACAATGATATTTTCCTATTTTTTTACGTATACTATTGATATCAAAATGCCTTCTAATGTAGATTTATAATCGATATTTGAAATAAATTAAGTCACTTATTATAATGATTATGGATATTTAAGTTCTTATTAGTATTATTCAGCTAATGCTTTTAGTATCACTAAGTAATAATTAAATGTAGATAGTTTAACAATTAAGATAACACCATTTGATAATAATAATATTGGGGAAAAATATCAAATTTATCTTCGCTTGCTTGGTCTATATGTGTAATTGGTAAATTTAGTTATTAAATTTGTTTATAGAGAGAGGAATATTAATTATATTCTTGATTAATTTTAATTTAAAAAATTATATTTTTTTAACAAAAAAAACTTTTCTTTAAATTTTTTTATAAATTAATTCCCACTTAAAAATATTTATTTAACATAATATAGTGCCAAATAAACTGCAAATAGTGTGATTATAACTAAGTATGCTTATAATGTTTTTCTGGATATTATTATCAGCAAAATACAAAATAGTGTATACCTTGTGGTAGCAACTAATTTGTTAATTAATTCAACTAGTGCTAATCATGTGATCCAGCCTGTAAAACTTGCAATGGTCCTAATCCAAATAATTGTTTATCTTGTAATATTGGGCTTTATTATAATTAAACCACATAATAATGCATTTGTGATACAACCTGTAAAACTTGTGATGGCCCAAATCCTAACAATTGCTTATCTTGTAGTCCTGGACTCTATTATAATTAAACTACAAAACAATGTATTTGTGATCCAACATGTAAAACTTGTGATGGCCCAAATCCAAATAATTGCTTATCTTGCGTAATTGGATTGTATTATAACTAAGCCACAAAATAATGTATTTGTGATCCAACCTGTAAAACTTGTGATGGCCCAAATCCAAATAATTGCTTATCTTGCAGTCCTGGATTGCATTATAATTAAGCCACAAAATCATGTATTTGTGATCCAACCTGTAAAACTTGTGATGGTCCAAACTCAAATAGCTGTTTATCCTGCAATCCTGGATTGTATTATAATTAAGCCACAAAATCATGTATCTGCGATTCAACTTGTAAAACTTGTGATGGCCCAAATTCAAATAGTTGTTTATCTTGTATCTCTGGATTATACTATTAGTAAACTGCAAAACAATGTGTAAAATCCTGTAATGAAAACTAATTTTAAAATTAGTTATTATAGCTATGTTAGGCATGTGATAATACTTGTGCAAGTTGTGATGGAAATAGCTCAAATAATTGTTTAAGTTGTTATCCCAACAGCTTTCTCTACAACAAAAATTGTGTTAGCCTTTGTCCAAATGGGTTTTAAAGTAATTTTACTGCTCTCACATGCGATTCATGCTAAAATTATTGGAGCCCATAATGCAATCCTTGCTATGCCAACTGTAAACAATGTGATTAGTCATAAATTTAAAATGAATAATGCCAGACTTGCTATAATGAAACAAGATAAATAGATGTTTCAAGTAAAAGATGCATTTGCAAAAACTAAAATGATTAAAGGAAAATATTTTATTAATGCAGCTATGAAAATATTGCTGTTATTGATGCAAAATTAAGTGCTACATCTCCATAACTTAGTATTGATTTTGGATCTCCATTGATGAATATCATATCAAATACACCTTAGTCTTTATGCTCATAAATATTTGACTAAGCAACATTAGGCATACTCGGGTTAGATTCTTAATGCAAAATCAATATGAATTAAATTTTGGTTAATTTAAGTAACTTAATTTTATTAAATATTCTATAATTCAACTCTTTAAATTTATAATACTTTCATTTTTAAAATATTTTATTTTAATAAATAGGTGACTCATCGACAATCATAGAGAATAATTCAATTAATTTTTTGCCAAATAAACTGCAGTTTATAGATTATACGGATACATTTATTAACACATTTTATAGAAACGTTACTTTCTAAGATTTCCCTGGAGTTTCTTAACTTTAATTTAGCTATAATCACATAGAAAACAGCTGTAATCCTATAAATATAACTCTTTATAGTATTCAAAACGATGCAGGAAGAAAATTTATGAGTCTTAATTGGACTTTAAATCAAATTGTAGGCTCCATAAGCAGCGAGTAGTAAGAAAGTATACAAGAAATATTATTAAAAGCAAGCTAAAACAAAAACACTAGTTTGATTATAGGCCCTAAATTCTTACCACCAAATATTAACATAACAATATAATTTAGTTATTTACTTAAGGTTAACTAAGCTGGTACTTAAATGTTCACAATTATTTATCAAAAATAAAAATTTATAAGAGTCAACTATTAGCAATCTTTGTACCCACCAATTTATAGGTTAATTTTTCTTTATAATGAATTAATTATTTTTATAAATTAATCTTAAAATAATAAATAAATAGATCTATGAGCTTGACTTTCTACTTTTAATTTTACATAGAGACATGCGAGTTAGGCCAAATAACTTCTTTTAATGAGCCTATTGATTTACAACTAGTTTCTAACCAGCTTTAAAAGTAAAGCCTAAGTCAATACAATTAATCAAGCTTTCAATATGACATTCTCCCTTACTCCTTAGCATCTAACTAAACCTTTAATATGAGTGTACATTTTTTATATTGAAAAATACCTCCTAAATTATTTATAAAAAGATAGATTTTAATATTCAAATTTAAAATACAACTTTTTAATCTGCCCAAATATTAATAAAATTAATTTATTTATATTAAACTATTCATCTTTAATAATAGTTGATTTTGAATTTGAGTTCAGATAGTAAGATTGTTGCCATCTAAAATATATCAGTTTATATTTAAATTACAGATTTGTATCTGCAAATTATTGGAGGCTCAAGTCTAAATTTAGGCTATTAAAATAAAATGGTGTTGAATACAGATTCGAGGGATTATGAAATCCAAGATCCAAATTCAGCTTCAAATATCAACTTTAGTTGGAAATGTAATAGCCTATCCTCTAATGACCATATCTGCTATGATTACTAGAATAAGTAGATTTAATTGCAACAAGGGGCCAGTAGTATTACGTTTCCTGCTAAAACCTTTTAGCCATACACTATAATTTAGTTTACAGTTTTTGGATAAAAAGATTCTAGGCAATCAAATTTTACGACAACCTGTATATTCACAGAATTAGATATTCCTCCACTAAATATTTTAACAGCAACACACATTAACCGAAAAATTAATTTGAATGATGATCTTAATTTTTAAATAAATTATGGTGAGAATGTTTCATCAGATTAATTGTCTTATGCAGGAGCTATATTATATAATAATGATCCAGTTGCAGCAATCAAATTTGATTATTTCCAAATTAGATTCAGAATTTGGAACTATTTTTAAAATATAAATCCCTCAAAGCCAACACTTTAAATAAGATTTTCTGTGTATAATCCATTATATGTTATGCCAAGCTTGTCTACAATTAGTATTTAAATTAATATTCCACCTCAGAATTGCTTTTTAAGTATAAATCCCTTATAAGGAATAGCGCTTGAAACTATCTTTTAGATTTAATTATTGAGTTGTACAGATGAAGATCTTCCTCTAACTTATTAGTTCTTCTATTACAATAATGCAGATGATGCTATTCAAGAATTAATTTCACCTTGGAATATTTTA